AGAAATCCCAAAATCTTAAAACTCAGTTTTTGTACTTTGTCTAATTAAAAAAAATAATTAGTGTTTATGCACCATTAAACATCGATGTGTTGGAAATGAAACAAAAATTAATGACATGGATTTTAAACAATGAATTGCACATTTTTTCATTGTCTGTAAAATCATAAGCCTCGATATATAAATTTCCTTCGTTTCTTTGTCGAATGTCTATCTCTCTATCTCTCCCATCTCTAGCTCTCTCTCTCTATCTCTCTGACTTTCTCTCTCTCTTTCTCTCTCTCTCTCTCTCTCTCTCTCTCTCTCTCTCTCTCTCTGACTTTCTTGTAATTTACATTATTTTCTTGAAATGATTTTATTTTATGAAATTAAACTTAATGTATTGCTTAAAACAATACACCCATTGTCTATAAGGTATTATGTCATTGATTAGCCTATACACCATAAAAAGTCTAAAATGTTTTCAAATTTTATAGTTTTTATACACGTTTGACAACGGAGACATAGGTGAATATTTCATCGAAATGTAATGAAAAGCCAGACAAACAACGAATTCTTTAAAAAAAACAAAAAAGAACAACAACATTTTAATTTGTAAAGTTATCCATCTCCCTGTTCGTCTTCCCAGTCACCATTTTCAATATTTTGTGGGACAGAAATGAACAGACAGGTATTAGAGTTCACAATCGACACAAAAAAACTGAACAGTCAGCTTTGAAACCAAAAAAAAGCTTTCTTCCTATTTCAAGGGCGTTCTACAAGTCACGCTATAACACAACACTGTTAAAAGCTCGCCGGTCTTAGTGATGTGAATAAACCATGACTAAATATTTTGTCATGCAATAAAAGCAATCAAAAAAATTAACACTGTTATGACTATATAAGTCTCAATGCAAAACATATATTTTAGCAGTGTTTTTGGTCACCTGCTTGTATATGCTGGGACTCTAAAACCAAATTTTAAGAAAGTCAACGTTATGCCACTGCTGTGAGGACGAGTGAGAGTGAAATGTAGTTTTCCTCTCATTGTTTGTGCGCTAAAAACAAATCCTGCGTTCGAAATATTTGTTTAAACAATTTCATTAATAAATTGGTAAGTTTTACACACACACATTTTCCGTTCAAAAACGTTGCTCGTCTCAGAAAAGGATTTCTTAAATCATTTTTGATGTTGAACGAAAAAGAAATTCTAAAAAACGTTTAAAAAATAATTCTTGTTCATGGCACATATTTAAAATTAAATTTCCAAAACGTCCAAGTTTTACAAATAGAAATGGGAGGAAATACTGTTATGTAGAAATATCGTTAAAATGTGTATTGTAATTTGAAAATGGTCACTTTGTAAAATAACTTGAATAGCAATGGTTTAAATGTTTATACAATTCAGGATATATTTGCTTTTAAAACCATGAAAAAATGTATTAATATTTAATTTATCCAAGGGGAGTTGAGGCACGATACATTTGGTCAAAACTGTGGAGTTTGAAAAGCTGTTTTGGAGTTTAAAAACAACTATTTCTTTAATCTGATGATTTACTAATCAATAAATACTATGGCGCCCATAGCAAAAAAAGGTATTTGATTCACTTTAAAACATATGGTCCCTGTCTCAATCACGATGAACATTGCATAAAACGAGGACAGGAAATACTGCAGTTTACAACCTTTTTTTCTTAGAGGGCTTTCCATTTGATACGTCACATGTTAGTCATTTCAATATAATTTTGATTTTTACTCTCGACATACTTTGATGAATATTCTATAGAATTAAGTGTGTCATTGATAAAAATTCTGACAGACCTGATCCTTCTATTGAGTTCATTCATTTAGACATTCAAATAATTATTTTCCTCTTTCATCTGTTTATTTTGACATCAATGTTTGTTAGTTTCGTAAAAATGATTGATATTTTTACTCAAATCTATATTACAAATATCTTTTCTTTTTTTTTCAAATTTGTTTCCTAAAATTCAAAGGTGTGTTGTTCGAAGAGGCACATTTGTTTTTGTTTTTTTACATTTTGCTGTTGAGATTTTAAAGAATTAAATGATTGATTCAAAACAAGTGAAAAGTTAATACAATTTTAATAATTTAAATTTTCTTAGCTGATGTCTCAGTAAAGTCTTGTGACAAAAACATGTGCATCCATTGATTTGGTTTGATCGTAACGTAAAAAAATTATTTTTGTGTGTGTGTGTCCACTGCTTTAAAGGACGAAAGTATTCCAAGTTTTCGTGATTGCATTAATTGTGTTTCAGTGAGTGTGTGTGTTCACACAGACGTGAATGAGTGTGCAAGTATTGTTTAATAAACGGGACGACCTGGCCATCTGTTTTTTTATTAAGGCTTGTTTATCGACCAGTTGTAATGGTTTTTATCAATCCTCTCTTCCCTACTCCACCCAGCGACCTCCACTTTCATATTCCATTTCAAATTTTATTATTAAAAAATATGTAATCTTGTCACATTACATTTCACAACTGGTTATAGTGTTGTCCGGTTGTCTTGCAGATGTGCAAATTACGTTTAGGTCACACAGACGTGCTAATAATAACGATGTCGTCACTTATTGAAACAAATTATACTCTGTTGTCAACATAAACACGTTTATTGATTAAATTGTGTTTCTGACAATGTTGACATGGGCAATCTTGTAAGACGAGGTACAATTTCAAATGACACATATATATATTTATATATATATATATATATATATATATATATACACACATTACTAAATAAGTGTGTATATATATGTATATATATTATATATATATATATGGTTATTATATACATCCGATTTTATTTAGCCTCCCATGTCTTTGCTAATGAATAAGCTTAACCTGATACACTATTTGGTGTGGTTAATTCTCTGTAAAATATTAGCACAATACATGTATAATGTAAGAATATATTGCATTGTTTGCACAACAATTTTCAACGCAACTTTTTCGACGATTCAAATGTGTCAGTGTTAAATTGTCCCCCACAAAAATAAGTTATCTGAAACGAACAAGGTCCTAATTAGTTGAGAAAATTTGAGATGTATTGTAATTATATGATTAGCAAAACACTAAACGTCTTATAGCTAACTTGAACAACTTGATGCGGTTGCTAGGTTAATTTACACGTACCAATAGAAAAAGATATTATCACACATCTGAGGGACTACAATTTCATGGAGAGTTTCAGACCAGAATCAGTCATGGTCAGATCCATGTTCTGTCGTCACTACTAGAGACAATTGCATCTATTGTTTGTTAAAGGGTATAAGCAATATTATATAGCTTGATTTCTCTGTTTAAAATGCAAAACTGTTTTCCTTTTAAAAAAAGAAGCTTGATTTATTTTTTGCCAGTTGTAATCAAGTGTGTTATTTAAATTGAATTTTAAATGTTTCAATTTTGTTTTTAAGTTTTTTATGAACATGCGTTTCCCATAACGTGTAAGTCGTTTCATGAAGGACAATTGGCAGCTTCATGGAAGCAGAGCAGTGGCCTTCCCTTCGCTATATGGCATTTTACATATTTTGATTTAATGTATTTGAAATGACAACAGTTCGAAATTTTATGAGCTGTTAAAAAAAAAAAAAAAAAAAAAAAAAAAAAAAAAAAAAAAAAAAAAAAAAAAAAAAAAAAAAAAAAAAAAAAAAATATTATGTTTATAAAAAGTAGTTAACAGATTTGTATATGCTATTTGATAAAGTAGCATATCACGGTCAAAGTTACAACCCGGAAACCACATTGAATCACACCTGAAACACATGATAATGAACTACATAATTAGCTAACATCAAACCCTGAACCGGCATTTTTACAATCTTTTAAACACCACTAATTTACCCCCGTGGCGCTCTATACTGATCTTCCAAGCCCAATAGCATCAAACACTGTTACCAACTATTATCAACCCATTGACTCAAATACTATCAACGCTGTATTATCAAATCATCAAACCCTGTAACACGCTTTTACCAACACGATAACCCATAATAATCCACAAAGAAACCCTTTTTAATCAACCAGGTAACACACTTTAATTAACCCGTATATTTTAACACGGAAACCCACTTTAAACGACACTGCAAGCATCCATCAATAAGTGGTAAAACAAGAAATGATCAACATTGTAACCTGCTATAATAAGACAAGGCGGCTGTAACACGATATAATGAAGACTGTGACAAGTCATAATCAAGAATGTAAAACGATATAAACAAGACTGTAACACGATATAATCAAGACTGTAACACGATATAATCAAGGCTGTAACACGATATAATTGAGACTGTAACACGATATAATCAAACCTGTAACACGACATAATCAACACTAAATCAATATAATCAACCGTGTAACACAATATTATCAAAACTGTGAAACACTATTATCAACACTTACACAATATAATCAACCCTGTAACACGATACAATCAACACTTACACAATATAATCAACCTTGTAACACGATATAATCAACACTTACACAACATAATCAACCCTGTAACACGATATAATTAACACTTACACAATATAATCAACCCTGTAACACGATCTAATCAACATTGTAAAACAATGAAATGAACACTTTGTAACAATATAATCAGCACTATAACACGATATAATCAACCCTGTAATACGATATAATCAACCCTGTGACACGATATAATCAACACTGCAACACAATATAATCAACCCTGTAAAACGATTGTCATTACATGCATGTTTTTCTATTACATTTCTATTACATTACTACACATGACATTCCGCTGGCTGATTAGACCATTATATTAAATCGAATGATTCCCATAACAGAAAAATAAAGCATTTATTAATTTCTTCGCAACACAATAAACTGAGTTGCCAGGGACATGCGAGGGAAACTAAAATTGCCTGCAGCAAATCTAATCTGTTTTGGCTAATTGCTTTTTCTTTGGTTTTTGTTGGCGGATAATATCTTTCATTAATATATAAATGGCAGAGATGTTCTTGTGTATGCGTACTACAACAATTTGTACATCTCGAGTGCTCTCTTGTTGAGAAGTCTAAAAAAAAAGGAAGATTCGGTAAGTTATTTTGACACTATATGGAGCAATTGACACGTTTTCATCAATTCGTACTAGTGTCATTTAAACAAAGTCAGCTTGAGTTTTCAAACTTCGTTATGTTTTCACTTCTTCATTTGACAAAATAATCCTCAAACGCTCATTGAAGCGTTTATAAATAAAATAACAATTAGATAATAACAATATTTACAGTCTTAAATTTGTAATGCTTTAATGAATACTAATGTAGAACATTTTATTTTTTGAAAGATATAATATATATTATTTAAAAAAAAATTAATATTCGTTTATGTAACTTTCACAGTCAATATATATATACATGCCAGTTTGGGAAAACGAAAAATGAACATATTTTCATTTTAATTGACACACAAAAAGTAAAATAAGAGGGTCCATCGTGTATAGTCATAAGCTTTCAATTCAATTAGGGGGCGGGGAGGGAACCAACTAAATTTGTATTGGTATTTAAATTGATTTTATAATCTGTAATTTCAAATCACCAAAAAAAACGGTATATCTAAGCTGAAAAGAAAATCCCCCCCCCCCTTTTTTTTTAATGTGCAGTTTTATTTAAATTGCCATGTACCGTGGTGCCTCCAGAAATAAACAAAATAACAAGCCGACCTGGGCTGGGAGGGAACCAACTAAAATTGTATTTGTAATTAAATTGATTTTATAATCTATAATTTCAAATCACCAAAAAAAACGGTATATCTAAGCTGAAAAGAAAATCCCCCCCCCCTTTTTTTTTAATGTGCAGTTTTATTTAAATTGCCATGTACCGTGGTGCCTCCAGAAATAAACAAAATAACAAGCCGACCAATTTTTTTTTTGTCGTCTGCCCCCCCTCTACACCCCAAAAACTCCTGAAACGACACCCCCTGAGTGCAGAGAGTAACTGAGATTAACCTAGTAATCCTACTGCGTTAAACTTATGTGGATTTTTTAAAAAAATATTTTCACTGTAAACGTGGAACTGCTCAATTTTAATCCCGAAGACTTACGGGTACTTAGCCTTCCCAATGAATTTACTTGATTTGAGCAACACCATTTACATACCTTTCCTTACATCCTGTTTGCAGCTACAACATGTTGTCCAATGTGTTACTTATGCTGACCATATGTGCCACAGGCTGCGCTGTCGTGCCAGAAGCACTGTCTGAATCTGACATAGCTGCTTTCCTTTCTAGCCATAACCAGTTGCGGTCATCGCTAAGCCTTCCGGACCTGGTTGGTTTAAATTACTACATTCGACAATTTAAAACGTATCTTGTCGTAACTATCTTAGAGCAGTTGCAATAGATGTTTTCAAAATCTTTAAGATAGCATGGCACTTTATCATAAACATTGCCTTTATATGTGAAATGGCAATTGTAACAAGCTTAATTTGATCAGAACGCAAACATTCAATTAGTTTACCATCGATTTTTCGAAATCAAATATATTTAATGTTCAAATTATTTAACCCGAAAAATTATGTTACTGTAGTTATTCTTGGCTCATCTTATATTTTGTGTTGTAAGGCGATGTACATTTCACTGTCTGCTCTTTAAAAAACAAAAAAAAAACAAAAAAAAAACGTGAAATCGCTGCTCTAAAATTTGCTCCAATCTTTGCTTCAACAATAAAAACCATAAAACATTGTTAAGCAAACATCTATTTTTTTTAGGTCTGGAATTCCACGCTGGCTTCTGTTGCAGAAGAACATGGCTCTAAATGTCTCTGGAGACACAGTTTTAATAGATATGGCGAAAACTTGTATGCTGGTTCTCGTATGTATTTAATATTATGTCGCATACCGCACACATTTAGTTGATAATGAAAAAAAAATTATGATGGAAACTGGTGTCATTCAATCATTCACAATTCTAATTTGATTTTTAAAAAAATAAAATATCTATTTATCCATGCAATAAATATTTGTCTTAGCGGTAACGATCTGATATACGCTTATCTACAGCTAAAACAACAGACAATGCAGAAATAGCTAACGCAGCGGTAGCGTTGTGGGCGACTGAGGTTAAGAAGGTGGATCCTAAGTGGGCATGCATTTTTGTCAGCCAAGGAACATGTGGACACTACTCACAAGTAAGTCCGGCACACTTACTATATAAAAATCAACCATTTAATGAGCCAAAATAATTCAAGATAGATGTAAGACAGGGGTCGGGAACCTATGGCTCGCGAGCCAGATGTGGCTCTATTTATGGCTGTATCTAACTCGCATACAAATGTTCCATTATTTAAAAAAAAATGTTTTGGCTCTACGTATGCATGCGAGCAGTCTCTCTCACATCTAAAGAACATTAAGACCAACCTGCGATCACGTTTAACGGATGGAAAACTTAACTCACACATGAACCTTAACCTCACCACGTATCAACCAGACTACAAAGCCATCAGCAAAGCCATGCAGAACCAGAAGTCGCATTAATGTTAAAAAATACTCATTATTGATTAGCAACAGCATAACAATTTTATTAAAAGAATTCAGAGACAATTTTTTGCGGTTTTATTGTTGAAATTACACAAAATGCACACATTTACTTGAATTTTTAGTTTAAAACATAATGCATGGCTCTCACAGAATTACTTTTCAAAATATGTGGTGTCCATGGCTCTCTCAGACAAAAAGGTTCCCGACCCCTGATGTAAGAGATCTATGTGGGGAAGATTTGTGCCAAACTTCCACTGTCTTCATATATTTTAAGAAAATTGGGTCATGAAGATATTTTAAAAAAAAAATGTTTTGTATTTAAGCACGCTTGCGTATTACTCCTAAGTTATTACATTAAAACAGATTCCCTGGCACAATCAATAGTTTGAAAAGGATCGATTTTCACGGGTTTATTGCTTTTTTTGTTAGGGACCGATCCTAAGGCCGGTAACATCAGCAAACTTGTTCATGGCTCTCCTTGCAAAATAGATATATGGTACACCCTGAATTCTCTCGCAAATGCCAATAAAGCACATGTTTTTTTGTTTGTTTGAGACAACGGTGATAACTATACTGATGTCTTCATTCGTGCTATCCCGCATGGACTACTGCAATGCTCTTATTGTGGGTCTTCCAGGAACGCTCCTGGATAAAATTAAAAAAGCACAGAATTATGCGGCTCGCATAGAGTACAACATTGCAACTCTGTGCTACCACTGCTTGCATGACCTGGCACCGTCCTATCTCATAGCGCTACTGACGCCTTATGCACCCACTAGACAACTCTGCTCATCTGATAGTGGCAAACTCTCGATACCAAGTGTTCGCCTTGAGACTTACGTGGGGCGAAATGTCGCGTTTTCTGGCCCAACAATTCGGAACATCCTTCCTGTCGCTCTCAGACACAGCCAGATACTGGAGTCTTTCAAAACTGATTTGAAGACGTATCTATTTCGCAAACACCTGCTGGGGTGATGTTGTCTATCTAGCTATTATCTTTTAGATGTGTATGGCTTGTGCTATTTATGGTTGCAATGTATGGAAGACTTAGAATAGGTATTCTCTTATGTAATTTTTGTAATGTTGCATATTTTACTTCAATGTTGTATGTACCGCTCTTCGAGGCTTTGGGGATGAAGCGTGCTTTTCAAATAATCTTTATTATTATGACTATTATATGTATATATGTATATATATATATATATATATATATATATATATATATATATTAAAATTTATCTACTTTTTTCCTTTTCTTTTCTTTGTATATATATATATATATATATATATATATATATATATATATATATATATATATATATATATTAAAATTTACCTACTTTTTTCCTTTTCTTTTCTTTGTATAACCTTGAAAAAAAATGTACCTAAGATACGTGATTCACTGGCAGATTGCTCCTTTTGTTTATACAATACTTAAGCGAACCTCATTTATTAATTAACACCTCATTAACACAAAGTTTTACGCATACATTCTTATCTACCTATATATAAAAATGAATGTTTGTATGTCTGTATGTCTGTATGTCTCGTATGCGCTCCTATACCATTCATGCGATTGCAACAAACCTTTGGTCAGTTGTTGTCCCAATAAATAGCCATTTAATTAAATCATTAAAAAGCTTATAAAATGTTCCGTTCCTAGCCGTTGGCCCTTATTTCGTTTTTTTTTTCTTCTGTGAGCTTTGTAAAAAAATATTTTCCACATGTGCTCCTACGCCATTTATCCGATTCCGACAAAACTTTGGAGAGATGTTTTGAGCATGTCCATAAAGGTTTCTAAATTATTACAACCGTTTTAAAGTATTCATTTTTGAGCCAGGGGCCTCATATTCGTTTTTCCTAATATGAGCTATATAAATATATTTTCAAACCATATGCACTCCTACACCAATCATGCGATTGCCACAAAACTTAGTGAGTTGTTGTCCATGCGCCAGTGCATTTTACTGTGTTATTCAAACACTTTTAAAAATATTCCGTTTTCGGCCGTTAGCCCTTAATTCGTATTTTTTCTTAAATGAGCTTTGTACAAAATAATTTCCATATGGTCTCCTACGCCATTTATCCGATTGCAATAAAACTTTGGTGAGACTTTGGAAGCACGGCCGCAAAGGTTTTAAATTTATTATAAACTTTTCAAATTATTCCAATTTTAGCCAGCGGCTCTATTTACGTTTTTTTTCTTATACGAGCTATATAAACATAATTTCAAACCGTATGCGCTCCTGCACCATTCATGCGATTGCGACAAAACTTTGACGAGTTGTTATCTATAAACATACCCATTTTACTCATTCATTACAACACTTTTAAAATATTCCATTTTCGGCCGTTGAACCAAATTCATATTTTTTCTTATATGAGCTTTGTAAAAAATAATTTTCTATGCGCTCCTATACCATTTTTCAGAATGTGATACAAATTTAGTGAGATGTTGTTCTATCGCCCACAAAGGTTCTTAAATTATACAACCATTTTAAAATATTCAGTGTTGAGCCAGGGGCCCTATGTTTGTTTCTTAAAAAATGAGCTATATAAATAAAATTTCAAATCGTATGCGCTCCTACATCATTCAAGCGCTTGCGATAAAACTGAGGTGAGTTGTTGTCCATAAGCCAGAGCATTTTTCTGAGACATTATAACCCTTCTAAAATATTCCGGGTTTTTTTTGGCAATTGGCCCCAAATTCGTGTTTTTTTCCCTTACATTAGGAGCTTTATAAAAAATATTTTCCGTATGCGCTCATCTACATTATTAGAATGCGATAAAATTTTAGAGAGATGTTGTGCGCAAGCCCGCAAAGGTTTCTTAAATGATTACAACCATTTTAAAATACTCCGTTTTTAGCCAGGGGTCCTATGTTCGTTTTTTCTTTATAAGCTAAACAACTATAATTTCAAACAGAGCTAATGCATGGATGGATAGCTTTTTAATCAAATACTAATAGTGATATTAATTTGAGTGTGTGACATATTATGTAGGTTTTTGAAATAATACAACAATTCTACAATATTCCATTTGTGGCGGGGGGCCCTAAATTCGTTTTCCACACTTCTATTATCTATATAATTAGCGTATGCATTTCTATACCATTCATTCGATTGTGATAAAAATGGGTCAAGTGAAATGCGCACTACCGAAAATGTTTCTAAATTAGAAAAAACATTTTACAATATTCCGTTTGGGCCAGTGACACTAATTTCATATTTTCTTCTAAGAGCTTTGTAACTATAATTTCAAACAGAGCTATTGCATGTGTGGAAGTAGCTGAATGCGCCGGCAAATTTTTCAAATTTAGTACATCCATTGTACAATATTCCAATTAGGGCTCGGGACCCTAAATTCAATTTATTTTCTAAAATGAGCTTCATCAATATAATTTATAACGGAGATATCAACACTACCGACATTGAACAAATTACACATTTGAAGTAAAGCAGAGAAAACACGTTTTTAAATTTTTAGTGAAGAGAGTATTTTTGTTATGTGTATAAATAAGCTTGAATTTTTCGACGCATGTTAGAATCGGAAATAAGAGTATTTCTTGAATAGAGTCTTATAATTTCGGAGTTGTTTTGTGTTATGTAAATATATTTTACATGAATCGATGGTTTCTCAAGTAATTAAATAACACACTTGACAACGTAGGTATTGAACTATGGTCATTTTTTACCACTGGAATTTACGATTTATAAATTAATGAGAAACTATACAACTGGAAATCTAGTGCAAACAATGAACGTATATTGTGCGAGGTTTTCATGTAAAAAGATGGGAGATCCTAACGTGTGAAAATTATGAACGTTAGGAATATTGTAAATTAATTGAATCAAATACAAACAGCGATATTTCATTTTGTTTGTGACCTAAAAAAGTTTTGTTAATTGTGAAATACCATTGCTAATAACAGATTCGCAAAGCAATAATTTCGCTGTCAAATCAATTATGCCACCCACATAAAAAGTTTTGCGTCAATCTAAACCTCAAGCACGAAAGGAAAAGTGGTCCCGATCTTTCGAAACAGCTGAGCAACGGAAAGCAAGACTAGAATCCACTCGAGTACGCAATGCTCAATACCGCTCACCTGAAACAGTCGAGCAACAGAAACCAAGAATCAAAACAGGCCGAGTAAGCAATGCTGAAACCCGTTTGTCTGAATCATTCGATCAGCGAGAAACAAGCCTGGATTCCGATAGAGTACGCACTGCTCGATCCAGACGAACACTGCACGCTGAATTAAATCTTAGTACATTCAATTACGATGCTAATTATGATTACAGTCTTAATCCAAGTGTGGTTATTGGAAAAATAGATTAATTATGCGTGCATTGCAGGGGCCTCAAATTTAAAAACGAAACACCGGAAATTTGCTGCGCGGATGGGAAAACGAAATTGCCAGAATTACATTCACTATCGGAACCATAATCAACGTTGGAATAAGGTGAAACAAGCCAATCGAAACATTTCTTGGCAAACATACGCAAGTGCAATTCATGTTTCCAAATGACATCGTTGGGTGCAACAAATATTGTGCTCGAGAATTACATGCCAACATTTTAAGTAAAGTGCAAGGCCAAATTTACCATCGTGTTGGATCTTTGATGCCAATGCCAAACACAGATCACAAATTTCTTCAAATGATTTTGTGGGGAATACTGATGAATAAATCGATCAACGTTGTCATATCAATACGGGCACTAAACGAGAAATCGTCGCTGCAATGCAAACGTTATTTTTGCAACACAACGAATTAATTTAAATGTATAGAATTGCACTTGAAAAGATGCGACTGATGAATATAAAGTCATACCGGTAGTTAGAGAAAACTAAACAACTGTCGGCCAACATGAAAGACAATACAATGCAGCAACAATTGATGAAGTGGCAATCATTATAGTTGGCAAATAATTTAACTCACGTGATATAATTCTTCATCGCAGAAGTGGGGATGTTTAGCGAGTCTCAGAAACTCATGGCTCATACGTTTGATTGCAATATCCTATTTTATTTTGGCAAGGAGAAGATGGATATCATTTTGACATCAAATTTAGAAATTCGAATAAGAAAGTCAGTGCCATGAAATACTATTCATATCGATTGATGATTCATGAGTTGGGAATGACCTCTCGGAATCGATCTGCAAACAAAATTTTCGCTCTTGATTTGCAACAAGACACGCACTTTGATATTTTGATATTGAAGCATTAGGTACGGTACATTTGCTCAATAAATGAATCTTCCGAAATTGGTTCCATTGAAGTTACTATTTTAAATGGAAAATTTAAACTAGGTGATGTACTTTTGCCATTCACCCCAATGATTCCAACAGATATGCCATTTGAATTCAAACGCCTACAGTTTCCGATGCGACACGCGTCTACAATGACTATCTACAAAGCACAGGGACAATCGCTACAAGTTTGCAGACTAAATTTGGAAAACCCATGATTCGGCCATGGAGAGATGTATTTGGCCTGCTCTCGCGTCGGAAAATCATCTGATTTATTCGTGTATATACCAGATGGAAAAACAAGAAAAACTTTGAGTATTTAAAAGCTCTTGAAGAAACATAATTAACATATAAACACTTTCTTTCTTTGAGTGGCATTGCAACGCATGCCGGGTACTCGCTAGTTCTTAATAAAAAATAATAACTACTAATTGTTGGTGACAAAACCTGCATACAAGTAACGCTGTGGTTTTCTCTATTTTATTCAACTTGAATTCTTTTTACAGTACCTTGACTTTGAAGCGCTCTCCGTCTCTCCATCCCATCTCTGGCAAGGCGATGCTTTACTGCTGCCTGATTTTTGTTTTCATTTTCATATTTTGCAATATAAATTTTAGCTTTAAGCTAAGATGTGTATTTTTTTTCGATGTCACTTAATGAAATAATGTTTTTTTTTTCTTTGCTTGAAGTTAAAATCTAATCGAAATAATTTCAACTTGTATTTTGCAATTCAAAGGACTTATATACACACACAAATTAGACATGAAAATAAATAATAGAAATGTCTGGTGCTCAATTGAACATTTAATTTTCATTAAATCATTATTTATTACTCTCATGATGTTTGTATTCATCTTCAGCTCGTATGGAAAAACACGAAGCAAGTTGGGTGTAGCGTCATTCACTGCACCCGTTCTCTTGAAAACTTAGTAGTCTGTGAATACGATCCACCGTGAGTCATTCAGTTTACTCTTTTGTTGCTACACGGCAGTCTAAACAGCTAATTGAATCAAAATGTCTACACTTCAAAACTGTATGTGTGTGATTGTTAATGAAAATGTTATTATTTCAGAGGCAACTACATGGGACAGACTCCATATTAGAAGGAACGCACCTTCTGTTCAAGTTTGTTCTCTTACGCAGGCGTCCTGCCGACAAGTTTGATGTTTTGTGTTAATATTTGTGTAAAAAAAGTGTCCCCCCCTACCTTCTTCTCAATATCTCCTATCAAGATGAAAACTATTTTAAGACATTTACATCTTTGTATCTACATTATTTTAATTGGATAATGCTAATATATTTTAACTTGTACGAAATTGTTAACTGTTTTTTTTATTAATCTTTAAAATTTGAAGTTACAGTTACTGCATTCATTTTAAATTACTTAACTATATACTATTTTATAAACATTTTGGAACACATCTAAGACATTAAAGAAATAGAAAGAAATCCCAAAATCTTAAAAATGATTTTGTGTACTTTGTGCATTTCTAGAAAGAAATATTTGTTTGTGTAAACCAATCGTGGGTGGGCATTCTGTGCGGATGGCTCCATTGACAAATGTAAAGCTATTTGGAGGGTGGGGGGCATGTATATTATGTCCAATTTTATATGTCGATTTAAATTTCTCTATATTAAAATCGGTAAATTCGAATTTTAGCATTTCATGATGTAAGTCAAGGACAGTGTAAAAAAAGAAAAGAAGAACATTAGAAAGAAAGTTGATTAAAATTTTTAAAACAATCACAACGGTACATGAAATTCTGCAAAATTAAACAAAATAAATTAAAAACAAATTAATATTTTTTTTAAAAAATTCTAAATGCCTTCGAGGGCCGCATAATATCAGCTGCGGGGCCGCAGGCCGTAGTTTTCCCCACCCCTGGTGTAAACAACGAGACATCAATGTGTAAGAAAGACTATTAAATATAAGATTTGGAAAGAACAAACTTAATGATAAACACTTGAACGTTATGATGCCACCTCACCCCACCCAGGTAAAATCACAACACAATATTATTATGCCATTTAACAAGTTTTGCAATACTTTGTTTGTTTTTTTCAATTTGTATCATCCTTGAAAACAATTGTATTTATAAAACAAAATCAATGTGTGATTTATTATTGTATTTAAAAAAATATATAAAGCAATACTAACCACACCAAATCGTATATCCTTATCTGTTAAACTTAATGTAAGGAGAAACAATCGAATTGTATCAGTTTATTTACTTTGAAGCAAAGATTATTGGCCTAATAACAAATCCACATCGTATGGTTTAAATAAAGGAATTTTGAAAAAGTACCCTTTTTCTATAAATGATATAAATATAATAAGGTTTGTCATTTGAAAGCATCTTTTCAGCCATATCCAACAGTATTTTTTTTTTTTTTTTTTTTGCATTTTAAAAGTTTTTGAAATTTTTTGCTTGTTTGCCGGTAACGGCAGCAAATTATAATTTAAAGGATCCTCATATACTTTTGATGAAACCAACATACTAGAATCAACTATACCTTCAGAGATTATTTTCTTTGTTGCTTTGAGTTCGTAAAAAAATATATATATATATACTTTTTAAAGGGGTTGCATTTGTCATTAAACTGTCGATTTGGAGTCCTCTCGAAGAACTTCACACATTTTAATCTAATGGATTCTTCGAATTGAATCGGTCTTGAAACTAGTGTTGTAATGGCTTACGCAATAATATAGTTAAATGTCATTTCGTCACGCACCAGTTCAATGCCTAAGACAAACGCTTCTGAACTAATGCGCACAGGATTGGATAGACGCAGTCAGTGTACTAACAATAAAGAGAACACTGAATGGATTGACAATAAGGTCGATAAACCAAATAGAAGCTGACCTCGTCTATAGTGTGGTGTCAGTTTGCACTAGGTCAAAGTACTGTTCCTGCTTCCTTAAAGAAAAAAGACTAACACGGCCATGAATTCTCTTCTTCCTCTTCAGGCGGTTGCAGTATTCTATTTCACGACGTACGCCCAACTGCATTAATTTTAACTTTCTGTTACCGCTTTACCCAAAAGAAAAAAAACATGAGATTGCTCCAGGAATTCCCAACTGTTTACAACAGAAGTTGTAGTTACAACATACTCCTAACTATTAAATACATAATGAAAGGTACTGTGTTAGCAGCCGTAAGTTTTGAAAGTTGAAGCAGGAATATGCTCCGTCATGGGGCTAGTACATGCATTGAGCAATTTAAATGTGTATTTATGGGTGAACAGTTGAAAGACGGACATAAACGTTAAATAACTAAATAGGAAATTGAGGAATATGAATGACATAGGACGAAATAAGTAGGCGTCAGAAAGAAATATAATACATCGCAGGATGATGGTGATTTGAACGAGGAGAGAAGGTCTACTAGTGGCCAGAGGAGAAGCTTAAAAGAGATTTTGTAAAGCCTCACTAAAAAAGCTTTCTCCTTTCGTCCGGACTCAATTGTTTAAAAGGCATGGAATCAAGCTTCTGGGCACCCCTCTGTATACAGAGGCTGCATACAACAAATTTCCAAGAAAAAAGCTGCCAAAGAACTCAGCGATAAAATCCAGAGTAGCTTAATAAATAAATTGTTTGAGGGCTAGCACAGTCCTTGAACCAACTGCTAAAGAAATGTCTATGCTATGAGCATTTTCTTCATTTGCACATAAGGAGACAGAATCCGTATACGGAAATTTGTTTGAAAGAAATTACGTCTACGTAAAATTGATCGACGGAAGTTTGATCGAACAAATTTTGTCGATTTGTTTTTGTTTGTTCCCAAGCTCAAGTTTTGCGTCAGATGTTTTGTTGTTTTTTTTGAACGCAACATTTTGTTTTACTATAAAGTATAGTGCGTTCCAAAAGAAATTTGACGATTCATTGTTGGCGTCTCGTTAATCTACTTGAAATCTTTATCGCAGTACAACACTCTTGTAATCTAAAGAGTGTTTTTGAGAGAGGGGGGGGGGGGGGGACAGTTGATTCATGGCCCTGTGTTTTTCTTGAACCATGTCCGCTGTTTTTTTTTTAATTAATATAAACCTTATTATTCATTCTTAATTAAGTTAATAGTACAACACTCTTGTAATCTAAAGAGTGTTTTTGAGAGAGGGGGGGGGGGGTGGACAGTTGATTCATGGCACTGTGATTATCTTGAACCATGCACGCTGTTTTCTTTTTAATTAATATAAACCTTATTATTCATGCTTAATTAAGTTAAATTCCGTTCACTATTAGAGTTCCGCAATTTAAGAACTTTCCATTAAAAATGGTAATTTTACAATTGATTCAGACCGCAGGGTCAATATTAGTATAGATCATATGCATAAACTTTGTTCCATTAACATGAAATAATCACCACGATATATCTTTTTTTGGCAACCGTTTCCTCCATGGAAGGAAACATTTACTGAAACTTGGCACACAGACTGCTGGCCGATGATAAAAAAATTTCATTAATTTTTCAGCCCCCCCCCCTCCCACCCCACACAATCAGTAGTCTTTTTTTTTCAAGGGGAAGATGAAGGAAATATAATGGCATAGATTTAACGAAATAAAATTCCCGGTAACTGCGCTAAATGATATTCTTTAAAAAGCAAAATTCGCAAGTGCGTAATATTTTCTTTCTTTTGAAATGGTTGGTAAAAAAATCTGCTGCGTAAAAGCGGATGCATCATTTAGATAGTTCAGGGGCGTGAAGCAAAATGTGCGGTTGCGAGACCTGGGTGGGAGGAGTAACTAATTGGTATTCTTAGAAAGTGCGTTACTTGTATGCGTGTTTTGTCACATTTTCAGCCCTCGGCCCCATTGCTCGATCTGAAATCGTATAATGCTTTATACGAAAAAAAAACATTGTTCTTAAGGATTGTTTAATTTGTGTTCCTTTTTTTCTCAGCGTATCACGCAATGTAAAAACGTTGTAGAAATTACAAAGTTAAAATTAAATCTTACAAAAACTTATTTTTAAACTTTCTAAATCTAAAATTTAACTGAAAAAAAAAATGTTTAAAAAGTCGTATACATAAAAAAAAAATTTGTTCTTACTTTATCAAATTTAACATACAAAAGGACATTTATAACTCACTGCTAATACAACACACACATTTTGTTGTTTAAGTATTTTTTAATACCTGAGATTATTTTTATTTACCCAACAATACATGCCTAACTTGGCTAAGGAATCCACTTACTTAACTCTTGGGGGAAAAAAAAGACTTAAAAATTCTATCACTATTGTGCTACATGGGTGATATTTATCTATAGTATAGTAGTTACTATCCTAATGTCTCATTTTTATTTTAGTTAGCTTACATGTTTTTAATAATTGTAAAGCGCTTAGAGCTTTAAGGTAAGCGCTATATAAACATGTCTAAATAATGAAATAAATATTTATCAGTTATTTAAAATACTTTTTTTATCAGCTAAGTGACTCTATTTACACAACTATGGCATAATATGTAAATTATGTCACATGAAAGTTGTGACAAGTTTTAAAATAAAAGCAATAAAAACACAATCGCTTTTAATTTCTGCTTAAAAAAACAAACAAAAAATATATATATTAAAATAACAATGACAAATGACATGCTATTAACTAACATAGCTCAGTGCCACATTATGAGATGAAGACCTTGAGCTAATCCAATAAACACTATGAAAATCAAAAAGGTTTTCTTAACTGTTGACTCAACAAATACATAGGACATATGAATTATATAATTATGAAATTTAATAGAAAAGACCTGCTGACTAAGAATAGGAAGATTACGGAAATGGATCAGACAAAAAATCCAAAGCCAACATCCCCAGTTAAAATTATCCTAAATGAAATGAAGAGAGAAAGAATGAGAGTGAGAGAAAGAAAAGTAAGATATTATTGATTAAAATTAAAAAAACAAAAAAAACAAGAGAAATCAATACAGTTCATTGCACAGTTGTTTTCATTTAATTGAAAATTCAAGCCCATTTTATCCTCTGCCTTTAGTTCATAGCAACAGGTCATTGTTTGGTTTCCTTACAATGTACAGATAATTTTAAAAGGACAATGAAATAAAACCCTTACTACACTTGTTTCTGGTAGCCTCCCAGTGATACTTATCAAATAAATGTCATTCAATGGAGCAGTGAAAATACCAGATTCTCGGTTAAAGCAGTTTCCATAATTACTAAAAAAATGTATCAAAATATTTAAGTGCCCCAATAGTAACACTTAGTTCAGTCGTATTTAAAAACTTCATTGCATGGAATCCTACATTCGGTGGACAGCATTTTGATTTTGGGAAAATATAAAAAAAAAATAATTGAAATACGTTTTAGTAAACTATATACTATTCTACATGACATAATTATTTAAATGTTGATATTTAACCAGAATCATATTATGTCAATTTCATGAGTATAAAAATAGAAAAATGTATACCTAATCTAATATATTTTTAACAAATAATTTTTTTCCATACATATAGGCAGACTCTTCTTCAAAGAAATATGAATTAATTTTGTTTAAAAAAAAATATTTCATTAATTGAAATATATTTTAACAA